CCATCAAAAGGCTAACCTGAAAGCCACTCAACAAAACAGACCACCTCAATCAAAAAAATTATGTTATTCCTAAAATACCCTTGGCCTGTTTGTTTGGAGTATTAGATTTGGGTGGTATTAAAAATTATTTTTATTCCACTCGTATCTAATGATATACTATACCTGGTCTTAAATTTTTATCTTATCATTCTCCTTGTTTGTTTATTCAATAAGTACTATAATGGGTCCCACATATAACCATCTTTCTATCACATCTTATATAACAAATATACAATTTTACTCTTAACATCATCCATTCAATTCAAAATAATTTAAAAAAAAATATTAAAAAAAAACCGGTGACACTGTATGCTTAAATATAATACAAAAAACAAATTCAAAATAATATTTTTTTAAAAAAACCGGTAATACCGTACGCTTAAACATAATACAAAAAAAAAATTCAAAATAATTTTAAAAACCCGTTAGCACTGTATACTTAAATATAATACAAGGAAAAAATTTAAAATAATTTTAAAAAAAAATTAAAAAAAAAACCGTTAACATCGTGCGTTTATACATAATAAAAGAAAAAAAATTTAAAATAATTTTTTTTAAAAAAAATTGTTAACACTGTACACTTAAACATAATATAAGAAAAAAAATTTAAAATAATTTTTTAAAAAAAATTAAAAGAAAAACCGGTGATATCGTACGCTTAAATATAATATAAAAAAATTTAAAATAAATTTTTTATATGTGAACTCTTCACATAGGATGGCATTTGTGTCATTTTATTCTCTTATACCTCCATATAATACCACCGGGTAGGTGGTATTACTTAGCACCGTATACAAAGCATAAGAGTTACTGTTCACAACGGGTCAGTACTATAACCTAGAAAATAATATTGAGTAAAAATTGTCAAACAAACAAGGTATAAGTTAAACTCCACGTATTATTTTCCTTAAATCAGCCCCCTTATTCCACCCATATCCCTCAAACAAACAGGCCATTGGTGGTGAGATTAAAACTTCAAGGCAACATTTCCCCACCAAAAAAAAATAATAATAAAAAGATAATTCTTCCTCCTAAAATAATAGTTCAATTATTAAATATCTATAATATAATCAGGGCGGGTTTCAATAAGTCCACTCGGCGGTTTCAAATACACTCATCTAACGGTTACCATCATCCCTCTTAAAATCATTCACATTAATTTACGTTACACCATACTTTCAGATACGATTTACTCCTAATTCTAGATAAATAACAACCATAACAGTAATATTCTTGAAAGTTAGTTATCCAATTAACCATATTACCTATGCCACTTATTTATCTGACTGAGTTGTATTAGTATTTGTATTCAATTTGTGCCAATGAGTCTCTAAGTAATAAGTATAGTTCAGCTGGAATAAAAGAGTATTGTGGTGGATTGAAGACTCCTTAGAACTTCCCTTGTTAGTGTCTAACATTCACGCTTAGGGTTTATGAAAAGTTTGTAACATATTTATTTAGTCACCCAACAGCTATAACTAGATCCAAAAAAAAAAAGAAAAGAAAAGAAAGAAAAATAGCGAGCGACTATAAACTCTATAAAACTCGCTCCTGGAACAACTATCTTCTTCTTCTTCTTCAACTCGTTAGTTATTACTTTCTTAAAGAAAAAACAAAATATGGGTTTAAGTCCCACAAAAACAGATATCAGTTGTATATTCTAGATTTTAAGAATTTGTAGACAATATTGATTCATATATGCATTATGAATATACAATTTTTTTTTGACTAATGTGATTGATTGGTTGACATGGATGGATAGAAATTAAGCAAAAGGGGGAAGATTGTGAAGAGGATTACAAACTTCATGACTCTATTGGGCGTGGACAGTAACTGCATGATCAATTTATTCATGATGTCCAATCTTTCCTTAATTCAATAGAACTTACGCTTATCTTTTTATTGTCCAATTCATAAAACCAAATATGTGTTGGTTACCTAGGGCCGAGAAATCACATCTAACACAAATATAAATAAAGAGGAATTCTTTATTTTTCTCTAGAAATAAATACAAGAATTTTTCGCACAAGAAAACTCTCAAGACCTCTCCGGGATCTCTCTATATTTCTCCCTCACTAATTTTTGGAATGATTTTGGCTTTAATTAAATTCTCTATTTATAAGGACTAGACTTCTACCAGGATTACGTTGAGACAAATCCAACTCTTAAGTCCTGCATACAAGATGAAGACATCAACAAGGCAACCCAGGAAATTTCTTTTGAGTTGAAGCGACACCTCCAACAAAGTTCCAATGTGTCTGTATTCAGTAGTCCTAGCTTGGAATCCGAGATCTAATTCGAAACCAATCGCAGTTGAGACGTGAATTCAACTCAAATTTCATATTAAATAACACAAAAATTAAATTTGGATTTAGTTCGAATTTCAACTTGAATTGCATATGTTTAGATTAAATGCCACTGAAATGAAAAAAAAACCACATGTTCAATATTTGAAATTTTGAATTAAAAGATTCGATGTTTAGTTTTAGTTTGGATTAAACTAGAGTTAAGGACTTCTATTCACCAAGGGAGTGGTCAATAGGAGAGTGGTGTACAGTATGCTCTTAAGAATGGACATTAGAGCAACTCCAACCCACTTTTTATTTCCTCTATTTTAGCTAGCTAAACACTAAAAAAATTCTCCAACCTACTCTCTATTTTCCATTTCACCGCTATCCAAATTTGGAGAGCCATATAACCTCTCTAAATTCTCGCACTACTTCTTTTTTTCTCCCTATATATGTTGTAATTTCCTTTAACTAATTAGAAGGTAGTGAAAGTTAGGTGAAATAGTTACTTAAAATAGAGAACGTGAATGAAGTGAACTTGTAAAAGCGATTCTCTAAAATAGAGAATGTAACATTTAAATAGATTTTGAATAACTAAAATGAAGAGTTGGGACGAAGTTGCTCCGGTAAAGTAATCAAGATGCTATATGCATTTTGAACCTTGTTGATCACCACGGCACTCAAAAGTTTGGTTTTTCCGTCTTTGATGTGGAGCACTAGGATGGATATATTATGTAGGATAAATTACAGTTTGACCTCCTAAACTATGGACTTGATTTTACTTTGTCCTTTGAACTATTGAATTTTTCACATTACCCCTCAATTACTTGAATTATTTCATATTATTTCAATCGCAAACGTCCACTACTTTTTTGAACAAAAATTGTTGATGTATTAGGAAAAGTGAAAAAAATTTACATAATTTGAATGATAAAATGAAACAAAAACGTTATGTTAAATGTATAACAGACGTTAACAATTGGGGCAATATGAAACTAATCAAATAGTTGAGGATGCAATGTGAAAAAATAGTAGTCGAGGGAACATGTGAAAAAAGAGTCATAGTTGAGTGGTTAAAGTGTAATTTACCCTATTATTTACAATGTGTAATGTATGTAAAAAATCATATGGGTAATTATGTAAAAAAAATCATTTTTCATTTGCATTGTTAATTTATAAGATCTATTGGGGTGTTGATGAAAAGAATAGAGGGTGTCTCTATCGATATAATAAGACTATAGGTTTTTGTATTTAGCCTAGTTTATAATTTATATCCATACAATTTATATTTAGTTACTAAAGATTCGATTGAAATAATTACATTATTAAAGTTTAAACCAACAGAAAAAAGTTAGCTTGCCTAAAAGGGTACATTTATTTACCAAAAAATATTTGTCTCAGATAAGTCGGTCTCTCTCTCACACACACAGAGTATCTTTCAAATTTTCACTATAGAGCTTTCTTTTTGGGTTTGTTATATTCTCTTTTCTCATAATCAAATTGAAAAGCATAAGATTTTTTAGCCTATATTTAAAAAAAAATCATCATACAAATATACGTTTTTACTAAATTATGTGTTGATCACAAAATTAATTACATTCCGTTATATAATAAATTAGTGAATTTTAATATAAAAACTAAATTAAAATTCTAAGGATTTAATTATTATAATTACAACTTCAAGGACCAAATAAAATTTAATACATACATTAAGAGTATAAATTGCTTGTATTTATAATTATAGACCGGTGGATCATCTGAGTTCTTACAAGAACTAGATGTGGCTCCACGACTATGGAGATCCTCTACATTGCTAGGCCTTCAACCGCGTGGCCCTACTAATGTGAAATGGGCAGTAGAAGGTGAGAAGAATATTAAATTCTATCATGCTTTGGCAAAAGGTAAAGCTATAAGAAATAGAATTAATAGTATTCAAATTGATTTAGGGGTTTGGGTTAAGTCAAATGAGGAAGTTGGGCAGGTGGCAGTGGATTTTAATGTTGACCTTTATAAATCTGCAGATCATATTTTGAAGGAGGAGTTGTTTGGTGTCATTCCTTGTCTGATTGATGAAGAAATGAATGGTAGCCTGACTAGGGAGGCTTCAGAAGAGGTTAAGGCAGTGGTTTTTTCTATCTCTGTGCAGAGTGCCCTGGGCAGATGGCATGTTGGGAAATTTTTTTAGTCTGCTTGGGATATTATAAAGGTGGATTTGGTGAGGGCAGTTAATGTTACTCTTTTGGCATTAATACCTAAGAAGGTAAATTCAATGACTTTTTGCAGATTTTAAGCCAATTAATTTGTGTAGTTTTCTTTATAAAATCTTTACTAAACTGTTGGCTTTTAGACTTGTTTTGGTGTTGCCGATTTCAAAGGAACATCATGGTTTTGTGAAGGGGAGGAATATTGGGGAGTGTATTTTATTGGCTCAATTGATAATGGATGATTTGGATAGGAAAGTTGAGGCTGGAAATTTGATATTGAAGTTAGATATAATAAAGGCTTATGATAGGTTGGAGTGAGATTTTTTATTTAAGGCTATCTTGCTTTGGTTTCTATATTTCAGTATGTGTTTTTGAGCTTCAGGAAGATGATACCAGATCATTGTTTTAAATAGTAGTTTAAGATTTGGATTTTCCTTGAGCCAAAGGAAGTAGGGTTGAATAAGTGAGAATGACTCTCCGACGGAGGTAAACAAAAACAAGTTGAAGAAGTGAGAAAGTTGCTTAATGTATATCGAAGTTTTCTAATTTTTTTTGTTTCTAATATGTTTTTTTAATTACGATCTCCGACTCTACAACCCATTCATTACAGAATTCAATGTGCTATGGATCGGTTTTACAACCATTGCCTTGCTAAGAGTACTGTGCTTCAATTGGACGAAAGGAAGTATATTGATTTTGAGAAAGTGGAAATTAAATTGGAGATTAAAGAGGTTGAGAAAGAGAAGAGTGTTCAAGATGTAAGTGAGAAAGGGGTGAGAGGCAAATTGGTTCCAAACTGATTTGTGTTGGAAGAGGGGGTTTATATCTATAAGAAACAAAGTTGAAGAGGTAGGAAAATTTTAAGAGAAGACAAAAAAAAAAAAAGTAGCCTTTTTATAGTCAACTTGATTATCAAATTTAGCTTGCACAAATGGTTACTCAAGGAGTCTTTTTATAGTGCTCAAGGAAAACTTCTACAATAATTTAATGCATTTTTCAACTACTTACAATTACTACACTACATATTTCTACAAGCCTTAGCTAGAATGTTCTACATAAGAAACTACTAAAAAATGGGCCAACCTAGGACATGCAACCTAGATTTATCTAAGGCCTAATAAATCTTGAACTTTTTACAACTTTAGGCAAAGATTAAGATTACTTTTCAACACTCGCCTTAAGCTTGATCTTGTAACTCCAAGGAAGGATCGCAACTTGTGAAAAGGTTTCATGCTAAAGAGGTTTAGTGGGAATGTTGGTGACTTGATCATGTGACCTTGCAAACTTCAAATGAACATTCTCTAATGAAGTGATAATTTGTATTAACATGCTTGCTTCGATCATGAAAAATTGGACGCTACCAATTTTTTGTCAACATATATCTATGCTGCTTCTTTTTGTGGGAAGTTAAAGCACCTTTAAGCCAAATTGTATGACGAATTTATAATTTTTTATTATAATGGATATTAATTTGGATCTTTATTTGATTAAATTGATTGTTGAATTGAGTGGTTAAAAATGGGTCGAGTTAAACCAAACTTAGAAAAAAGGTCAAAGTTTTGATGATATAGCTCGAATTGTAAACAACCACCCTAACATGAATGATATAGCCAGAAAATATATCTTGGGTGGACGCTTTTAATATTTTTCCTCTCAATCAGTCAATATAAGCAATATGTTATCGTTGACTAATCAAATCTCAAATAAAGGTTAGTCTCATGTCACTAGAGAGAAGTATAGTTCCTAGAGTTTGTACAGTCATAGAATGTCATACAGTGATTGATTGCTTTTCTTTTTCTCTCTCTCATCTTAAGTCTCCTGAGAATGATCTCATCATACATACATATTTATATTTTAATTTTTTTTAACTCCAAACGATATATAATTTTATGATTGGGCATTGATTTTGTAATACTTAGAAAATAATCCTTATTCCACAAGGATCTTGATTTTTACATAATGACAAATACCCTTACAATTTTTTGAAAATTTTATAAAAATATTTCTCATATGTCCAAAACTTATTGGGGGACCGATCGTGTTCAAAGTGTGTTTGATATAATAAGAAAATAATTAGATGGACATAATTAAATCTACATTAGAAAATATGTATGATATATGTAGGTTAAGTTAAAGAAAAAAATTGAGGGTGAGCAACTCAAGGATGTGGATCAGCTTCCCTAGCTTGGAATTGTCGGCCCCTCACATGGACTGGTGGATTGGTACAGTACTTGAAGCAAGCTCCAAAGGCTAGACTTGCTGATCTCTAGTGAAAGGAATCACGTAAGAAACGTAACGAAATTTTAAAAAAATAAATAAAATTAATTTTTTATTTTGAGATTGATTCATTTTTAATACAAATCGAAAAATTTTAAATTTATAGAGAAAATTAATAATTTATTTATTGAAGCGTGATTTTAACAATCTTGAAGCTTTCTCAAAAAAAATTTAAATATTTAAATTTGAATTTGATATTTATTCGAAACCTTATAATTATTTGACGTTAATCGATATGGACATGAATCGAAAAATTTCAAGGATTTACCTCATTGTGAATCCCATGTACAAATCCATTCGAGTGGGATTTGACGAGCTACAAAAAAATGCAATCCAATCCTCTTCTTGGCAACCATCCAAACATGACCTTAACTGCTATAGTCCAACCTGAATAAAATTTGAATTGTGGACCCTAGCAGACAATAAAGTTGGGTTGGACTTACTGTCAGCCTTTCCAAGTCTAAGGCCCAATCCCCGAGAAGGAGATATTATTTTAGTTAAAGTGAGATTTGTTACTTAATTATTGAAACTTCTTAATATTTAAAATATTATATAAATTTTTTTTAAAGTTTGTATGAGCTTAATATTTAAACTTTTGTCATTAATATCCGTTAATAAATTATACTTAGGCTTATTGAGTAATTTTAGTATAAATATAATATTTTAAACTTAAGAGATTTAAGTATTATATGCTTATAAATTTTAGGGAGTTTNTGATCATGTGACCTTGCAAACTTCAAATGAACATTCTCTAATGAAGTGATAATTTGTATTAACATGCTTGCTTCGATCATGAAAAATTGGACGCTACCAATTTTTTGTCAACATATATCTATGCTGCTTCTTTTTGTGGGAAGTTAAAGCACCTTTAAGCCAAATTGTATGACGAATTTATAATTTTTTATTATAATGGATATTAATTTGGATCTTTATTTGATTAAATTGATTGTTGAATTGAGTGGTTAAAAATGGGTCGAGTTAAACCAAACTTAGAAAAAAGGTCAAAGTTTTGATGATATAGCTCGAATTGTAAACAACCACCCTAACATGAATGATATAGCCAGAAAATATATCTTGGGTGGACGCTTTTAATATTTTTCCTCTCAATCAGTCAATATAAGCAATATGTTATCGTTGACTAATCAAATCTCAAATAAAGGTTAGTCTCATGTCACTAGAGAGAAGTATAGTTCCTAGAGTTTGTACAGTCATAGAATGTCATACAGTGATTGATTGCTTTTCTTTTTCTCTCTCTCATCTTAAGTCTCCTGAGAATGATCTCATCATACATACATATTTATATTTTAATTTTTTTTAACTCCAAACGATATATAATTTTATGATTGGGCATTGATTTTGTAATACTTAGAAAATAATCCTTATTCCACAAGGATCTTGATTTTTACATAATGACAAATACCCTTACAATTTTTTGAAAATTTTATAAAAATATTTCTCATATGTCCAAAACTTATTGGGGGACCGATCGTGTTCAAAGTGTGTTTGATATAATAAGAAAATAATTAGATGGACATAATTAAATCTACATTAGAAAATATGTATGATATATGTAGGTTAAGTTAAAGAAAAAAATTGAGGGTGAGCAACTCAAGGATGTGGATCAGCTTCCCTAGCTTGGAATTGTCGGCCCCTCACATGGACTGGTGGATTGGTACAGTACTTGAAGCAAGCTCCAAAGGCTAGACTTGCTGATCTCTAGTGAAAGGAATCACGTAAGAAACGTAACGAAATTTTTAAAAAATAAATAAAATTAATTTTTTATTTTGAGATTGATTCATGTTTAATACAAATCGAAAAATTTTAAATTGATAGAGAAAATTAATAATTTATTTATTGAAGCGTGATTTTAACAATCTTGAAGATTTCTCAAAAAAAATTTAAATATTTAAATTTGAATTTGATATTTATTCGAAACCTTATAATTATTTGACGTTAATCGATATGGACATGAATCGACAAATTTCAAGGATTTACCTCATTGTGAATCCCATGTACAAATCCATTCGAGTGGGATTTGACGAGCTACAAAAAAATGCAATCCAATCCTCTTCTTGGCAACCATCCAAACATGACCTTAACTGCTATAGTCCAACCTGAATAAAATTTGAATTGTGGACCCTAGCAGACAATAAAGTTGGGTTGGACTTACTGTCAGCCTTTCCAAGTCTAAGGCCCAATCCCCGAGAAGGAGATATTATTTTAGTTAAAGTGAGATTTGTTACTTAATTATTGAAACTTCTTAATATTTAAAATATTATATAAATTTTTTTTAAAGTTTGTATGAGCTTAATATTTAAACTTTTGTCATTAATATCCGTTAATAAATTATACTTAGGCTTATTGAGTAATTTTAGTATAAATATAATATTTTAAACTTAAGAGATTTAAGTATTATATGCTTATAAATTTTAGGGAGTTTAAGTATAATTTATTTACGGACATTGATGGGAAGGTTACGCGAGTACAAATTTTAGAGGGTTTATATATAATAATTTAAATATTAGGGATTTAAGTGAATAAATGACAAATTTCAGTGGGTCTTAGTCTAATTCTCCCTATTTTTTTTTTTGTAAGAAAAAGAAAAAATCCAACGGTCGTACATTTTGAAAAACAGGTAGCAAAGCGCCATTGGACAAAATCCCTGCTGCCCCCCCACCCCACCAAAAAAACAAACCCTACTTTCACAGAGCAACAAAAGAAACCCAAGAAAATGAAACCCTGAAACAGAGCCGAAGAACATAGTAGGATTCAGAGAGAGATGGGGGTAGATGTGGTGAATGATAGAGTAGGAACTCTAGTGTGGGTACAGATGAAGAATGGGTCATGGTGGCCTGGGAGGGTTGTGGGTCCCAGTGAGGCTAGTGAGCTCTCACCTTCTCATGATCTCTTCTCTCTGGCCAAAACCAAGACTCCTGTCAAACTCCTTGGAATAGAAGATGCTACTGTGTAAGTTATTGTATCCACGCATACACCCCAAACACACACAAGCATACATTCATATTACTTAAAAAACTCTATTGGGTTGCTGAGGAAACCGAGGAAAATGGATTTATTTTAGTCTAATGCTTTATATTTTGTTGGTGGTTGTGTGGAAATTGGAATGAAAATGTCCTGTTGACAAGGCTCAATGGTCAGATCAGGCTCGTTAAGTTATTAAATTTCCTTCTTATATGCGGCTTGTACTCTTGTTTGGATGCTAAGAAAAGAGAGTGAAATGATAGCATAGAACCATAGCTTAGCAGTTCTTATGGAAGTATTGCTTAAAACTCTGCTTGGTTTCCCAGAAATCAGAGAAGACTAGAATACAATACCCATATACGCCTTGTATTTTATTCTTTGCTGGTTCTAGAAATTTTAAAATTGTCCCCGGAAATGACCCATTATGATATATAATCTTTTTTGTCTTTTTCATTTTCTGAACATCTGTCAAATTTTCATATCAACCAATTTGAGCATTGCTGTTTCTCAAAACATATTGCTTACACTTCTGTGTGGTTACTGAGAAAATAGAATAAAGGAAAATAATGTACAGATTTGAGATGCATCTTTTGTGTTGTTATATCTTACAGAAGATATTGATGCCAGATAGGTTTATTAGGCTCTGTCAAAGGAGGTATTCGGTTTATCCCAGAGTGAGAAGTCTGAGATTTAAATTATTTATTTTTGTTTACCTTCAAACAGAGAACCGTGGTCTTTTACACTTCTTCTGGCATCCCTAGTATCATAATAGATTTTGGCAGATAACTGAATAGGAGTCTTGGTTTCTCAGTAAACGATATAGCATCAATGCCAAAAAATAGGATCTAGCATGGAACAACTAGCCTTAGTAACTGGATAGCCCATTGGTTTGCTGGCAAAGAAATAAAGTTAAGGTAATCAAATAGTGAAAAAGGATTGTCTCTAAGTAATCAACTGCCATATCACTGATGCTGGACAATGGCGTTTCCATGCTGCCTCTTTTATTGTGAGACTCGACTGGAATTCCCCAGTGATCCTATTTCTGCTCAACTCGCAATTTCTTTCGTTGTCTCTTCCCCTCTTTCATGAGTTTAACTTGAGTTCTTGATTTGAAGGCTTGAACTTGAAGCCTTCAGTGGATAATGCACACAGAACCAAGATCATGACATATGCCAGCTATTGACACAATTTTGAATCTGTGTTTATGTAATATGCAAATGTTTATGTCAAAAATCATTGCAATGCTTATTATGTGCGTTCGTATTCACCTAATATAAGGTTGTGAAACACAAGGCCCATTGTTTGTTATCCCTCACTATTGATGGCCAAAATGTCTGAGTTCATGTCCATCTTCATTATGAAAAAAGTTGGAAGTAGCTTATCTCTCTAACCACATATCTTCTTATCCTAATCATCTGAAAACTGTATTTTCCAATGTGAGGCTTGCTTCACTTGGCATGCCTGGAATTGTCTCTTAATCACTTAATATTAGATACTTGGCTTCTTATCGACAAAACATGCGAGGAATTAGCTAAAATATGTGTACACTGCCAATTGTTGACTTTGAATTTTTGGATGTATTGGGGGATGATTTGGACTTAGGATTCCTTTCAAGTTGTTATCCTTTAACAATGTTGCCATTCTGTTATGCTGCTCCCCATTTACTATTATACTTTAGGACTGTACTGCTCAATATACCTTCATTTTCTTCGATCGAAGCTTAAAATTCTATTTGGTTATCATAAAATTTTCAGGGAATGGTACAATTTAGAGAAATCAAAACGTATAAAAGCATTTCGGTGTGGTGAGTTTGATGATTTTNGCACTGTACTGCTCAATATACCTTCATTTTCTTCGATCGAAGCTTAAAATTCTATTTGGTTATCATAAAATTTTCAGGGAATGGTACGATTTAGAGAAATCAAAACGTATAAAAGCATTTCGGTGTGGTGAGTTTGATGATTTTATCGAGCAGGCTGAATCTTCCAAGTCCTGTCTTTCCGAGAAACTTGTAAACTATGAACGTCGAGAAGAGGCTATTCTTCATGCACTTGACCTTGAGAAGCAACAACTGCAAAAGAAACATAGAGTACCAGGTTCTTTTTCCCATTCAACCAGTAAGATTTCTTTTACTTTGGAAAAAAAGTGGACAAATCCTCAAATGGTAAGGGAAATGGTAGTTGAAAATATGAAACTCATCACTCGGACAAATTTTCTCGCGTTTTGGGGTTTTTATTGAGTATGAGAGCATAGACAAAACCCAAACTGGGGAAGCAGCTGAGCCAAAAAACGATAATCCTGAAGTCAAATCTCTAGGCTCATGATTGCTCCTTTGGCAAAGATGTTATCTTCCAGTGCTTCTGAGGGCTCACAGAGTTCTTACTATCTAGGAGACTTCTCTNATGATAATCCTGAAGTCAAATCTCTAGGCTCATGATTGCTCCTTTGGCAAAGATGCTATCTTCCAGTGCTTCTGAGGGCTCACAGAGTTCTTACTATCTAGGAGACTTCTCTTTCTCTAGAATTGTAGAGTAAAAAAATTACCAGTCTTTTAATCTTTGCAGTCCCTTGATGATTTTTTTTAATGTCTACACCAGGAGAGGATCGTGTGGGAACTATATACCGAGCAAAGAGAAGCAGATGTGTTTACTTGCCACCTGAATCCAGTTTATGTTTGGAGCGCACTGTTTCTCATCCTCAACATTTACAGGTCTCACCCTTCTCATTTGGGATAGATGACTATTCTATTCAATCCGGCTCCTCTGGACAGCACCCTTTATCCAAATCAAGAGAATCTCATTCTTCTTACATTGATCCTCAGGATCCAAACACAGATGGAGGGGTCACAAAACCTTCAGGTCAAGAATCTCTCCCTACCTGTATTGTTCATATAACCTATATATCTAGTGCTTCTCTTATTCTTTTTTGAAGGAGGCTAGTTGTACTATTACCTAAAATTAAAATTTCATACTTAGGTGCTTGCAACATGGGAATATCATTTATGAGAAGGATGTTGTATAGAATTAAAAAGTAAAAAACTCGATAGATAGTAAAGTCCTCTCTTCCAACTGTTGATATATATTTGGTGGCCTCTTTGTGAGTATCACAGCATGGTGAAATTTCTCCATCTCAGTTTTAATGCTCATGGAAAAACAAATATATCAAAGTAAGAAATGATTGTGTTAATAATCCATTAATGGAGCACTGAACCTCAAGTAACAAAAGCATGCGGTGCTTGCATGGGCTTAGATATACACATGCAGAATTTTGGTAAGTCATAGCATGACATGTTTTTCTCTTCTTTTCTCATCCTTTCTGTTGCTCGCTGTGAATCTTATTCAGATCTGGGATAGATATAAAGACATTCAGATTTGATGAACTGGTGTATGAAGAATATCTTTTCTACTACCATAAACCGAGTACTTGTTTTGTGTCCTTTTTCACTATTAGGCTTTATTAGGACATCAGACTGACTAAGGACCATGTTCATATCACCAACCATATAGGAGCCCTTCTGTCTGAGGTCTATTCTCCGTTAGCTCTGTTCATTCCATCCACCTCCCTGCTCCCACTGTTGTTGTGTTACTTAAGCCAGACAAATTTGCTGTGGGAGCTGTTGAGGTCAAAATCTGTTTGACCAGATTCAAAAGCAGGTTGCTGCTTATCCAGGAAGGTGTCGACGATCTAGAAATAACCTCTGAAAGTGTGCACAATCCCACATGATTACTGCAGTTGGCAAATCCTGGCTATGCAGAACTGACTCAAAAACCACTCTAATCCTATGTGGCCCCTTTACTTTTGCTTCTTTATGATGGACATATAACTTTTCTAGTCGTCAATCAAAACATGCCACTTTTGGAAGAGAAACTTTTTTTTAACCTGCCCCTCAAGTATTGCTGTTAAATACATTTTACTGCATGAAAATAACTTGTCAAGACTTAGGTGTGGAGTGTTTGCAGTAATTATGCAATTTTACAAATGCTACCATACAGCAGTTATAGACTTGAAAATTTTAGGAAACTGCAAGGGACAGACTGGAAACCTGAACTGTGAGGAGCATGAACTCGGTGACGTGTCTTACTTTCCTCCTCAAAACCAGACTGCAGCTTTACAGAAAGGGAAGGTGAGGAAAGGGAAAGGGCCTGGAATTGTGATTGATGAAAAGAGGTATTTCAGATCCGAAAATGGCACACTTGATGGGGAAGACCCATTAACTCCAAATGCTGCGCCCAAAGAAGACAGTAGAACTGGATATGACACCAAATCAGGGGAAAACATTGTTTGGGAGGTCAATAGACTGTCTCAAATAGTGTCCCAGGGTGATTACTTGGACAAGTGCTTTGATTCACTATGTATTGGCCATCAGAGTCGGATGGAAAGCGTTTTGATTGATGTGGACTTGACAGTTCAAGCAAGCAATCAAGAGGAGTATGGCCCTCTTGTTTGTTTAACGAGTAGATTGAATGGGAAGAAAATCATAGGGCACCCAATAGATAGCGAAGTGTCAGAAGACGGTTCTTCAGACATTCTTCTGCCTATGGAGGATGATACTAACAAGAAGTTGTTTGATAATGAGGGGAGTGCAATTCTTCAGCCAGTTTGGAAAACCAAAACTGCTAAAAGGACTCCTGTGTCCTATATTGCATGCTCTTACCCTTCTTCCATGTTAAAGCATGATAAAACTGCACAAGCTTGCCAAAATTCTGGTCACCTATGTGTCAAGGGGAGGGGAAAGAATTTCACTCGAGCATGGGAGTTTCTTGGGAAGCCGCTGAAAAAGCCTAGGCTTTCTAGCCTTGAAACAAGAATGCTCTCATCTGCCATTGCAAGGAATCGTAAGGGGAAGGTGTATACTATTCAGCCTATTAACCAGGGTTTTATGGGAGATGGTTCACCAATACCAGAAGAGACTGTGCCCACCAGAGTAACTTGTGTTCCTGTGAAACACATATGCGGTAAGTTACTGGTAGAAGTTGGTGGGTTGCAATCTTGAGCAGCAAGTCACGGANGGGGAGGGGAAAGAATTTCACTCGAGCATGGGAGTTTCTTGGGAAGCCGCCGAAAAAGCCTAGGCTTTCTAGCCTTGAAACAAGAATGCCCTCATCTGCCATTTTAAGGAATCGTAAGGGGAAGGTGTATACTATTCAGCCTATTAACCAGGGTTTTATGGGAGATGGTTCACCCATACCAGAAGAGACTGTGCCCACCAGAGTAACTTGTGTTCCTGTGAAACACATATGCGGTAAGTTACTGGTAGAAGTTGGTGGGTTGCAATCTTGAGCAGCAAGTCACGGAATTTAAACATCCAAGTACAGAAAGAAAAGTTAGCAATGGACATTGTTACATAGAAGCAAATAGTAGTATAACTTGTGAATTACTAAGCAACTTCGATTCAAGGTCCTTAAGTTATGTTCCCGTATGTAAGCTATGTGAAATTATGGCCCATCAGTGCAAATTTAAAATAGAACATTCTTTTTGGAGGCCATGGACACAAAGAAGATTTTAAATGTATATATGACTCTTAGTTATCAATCTTATGGTTCTGTAACTCAAAACTGCTAGTAGAGAAAATTCAAGCAGTTGAGTTTTCATCATTTTGGTTCCTAGGAAGGATTTATGCAAATCAGCTGGATTTTATGTTAATGCTCTCTGGTATTTTTCTTGTTCAAGTCATCTTGCCTGGATGTTATGTCCTTAACACAAGACTTGGCATAATGCACAACATTAGTAACAGCTATGTTGTTGTCCAATAGATCCCAAAATTGTGCCACCCCCTCTCCCTCCCCCCTCCTTATCCTGCCTTCTCCACACATTTATACTTGCTGCAAATCACAGTAATTTTAGCTTGTCAAGAGGCTTCCAAATATTAACTTGAGTCTACCATTGCTGGTATCTGTAAAGTTTTTTTTTTTTTTTTGCTAAACAAATATTGAGATTAAAGGATAAGGAGTACAAAAATACAATCAAGCATCAGACTCGACACACCCCTGAAGGCCATACATGGTGACTCTCAACCTAGCCAACAGAAATAAAACATCCTATAAAGACTAGGCATACAAAAACACCTAAGGAACTGTTAGGCATTAATGCCCCATTTTTCAGTTTAAATGTGACCTTGTGTTTGTTGGGATGTCACATGACTTTTGAGAGAGAGAGAGAGAAGGGGGGAAGGGGGGGGGGGGGTTAAACTTCCGAAAGGGGGAGAACAAAAATATTCAACAAGCCAAAATAACTGGCATTGTCATATTATTTTCACATACCAACATCGCAGGAAATAATGTACTTGACTCAGCTTAATAAAAAACAAGTTAGTTAGTCCTTGATGCAAATAGTTAGTAATGGAAATTATTCTCATTGCGTTGCTACATGAAATAGTGATATTATCAGAGTCAAATTGCTTAGAGGTGGGAACTTAAAATTTTAAAAAAATGTTCTCCACACTCATTACACAGGACCACGTACAAGGGGGCTGGGCACCAAAATTGGTACTCTTCATCCTCGTGCTTCTCAAATGATACGCTTCCCTCACCAATCAAAGGGATCTAAACTGCAACAATCAAATAGCAAATGCCTCAACAGGCCTGCAAAGTTAGAACTCATCCTTTGGAAGATTTCCAAAGGTGGCGCTCTGAGTTGCAACAATTGATTTGGTCAGCTATGTGCCTGTATCCCAGGGGATTATCCTCTTTCACAAAGTCTTCCCTATCGGTGCAGAATTTTAGATGGCGTGTGTTGTTTGAAGTTTTGACACTCTTTGTATAGTCAACTTTGCTCTTACAATTTTACACCGAGTACTTCAGTATATCACATTGGCGGCCAACTCATTGGTATTGAATCAATGGAGCAGAACTACTTGCCTGTATTGACAAGACCGTGACATATTTATCATACAACAGGAATAAGATTTAACGGTCGTCGTGAAATTAAACCAATTCAGCAGTGTTTGACGCGTAATCACCCAATCTTGACAGCAAGATTAATTCATTCAGCACCTTGTAAATATCTTTGGATTGCTGATGTGCCTCATCTGCAACCAAAAAATCATGAAACTCACCACCCACCTCGATCAAGCTTTGCCCAGGAGTCTTCTTGATACCTTTTTCTCTCATCAAACTTCTAACTGTCCTTACATCCCCCCATTTTTTCTCATTTGCACAAAGACTTGCAAGGAGCACATAAATACCGCTGTCTTTAGGATCCAAAAGCATTAGTTTATCAGCAGCAAGCTTGCCTAGCTCAACATCTCCATGTGTCCTACATGCATTAAGAAGAGCACCCCAAACTGCTTCATCAGGCTCCATCGGCATTTTTGTTATCAACTCATATGCTTCTTCAAGGTGCCCAGTTCGGCCGAGTAAATCAATCATGCATGCATAATGTTCCACTTTAGGTTTTAACCCACAGTCACTCTCCATGTTTCTAAAATATTCCCAGCCTTGATTCACCAACCCACCGTGACTGCAAGCGGACAGAACCCCCACAAATGTGATATCATCAGGCTTCAACCCAGTACTCTTCATTTCTTCAAAAAGGTTAAGGGCCTTTTCAGCATGCCCATGAGAAGCATATCCAACTATAATGGAATTCCAAGACACCATGTCCTTCACTGTCATCTCATTGAAGACCTCTGCGGCTGCATCAATGCTTCCACCTTTGGCATACATGTCTATGAATGCATTACTTAGAATCACCCTAGATTGAATCCGGTTTTGTTTAACATAATAATTATGAATCCATTGACCTAAATCCAAACAACCAGACTGAGCACACGCAGAGAGGACACATACTAAAGTACTCTCTATGGGGACCAAGCCTTCTTTCTTCATGTCATGAAAAAGCTCTAGAGCTTCCTCAGGTTTATTGTTCTGCGAATAACCAGCAATCATTGCGTTCCAAGAAACCACATTCCTCTCGGGCATCTCATCAAAATATTTTCTTGCCAAGTCTAACTCCCCCTTTTTGGCATAACCATTGATCATACTTGTCCATGAGAAAACATCCTTTATCTCCATCTCATCAAAAAACTCTTTCGCCGAACTGAAGCCACCACACTTTACATACATATCCAACATCGCATTCATCAAATTTAGACTACATTTGACATTGTTCGTTTCTACATATTTATGAATAGATTTCCCCAAACTCAAGTCCCCCTGTTGTGCACACGCGGAAAACACCGTGATCAAAGTAACCTGATTGGGCTCAACACTACTTCCTAACATCGAATCAAAAAGCCTCAAGGCCTCATCAGGCCGTTTCTTTTTCAAATAACCATCAATCATGGCAGTCCAGGATACAACGTCTACTTCACAACTCTCATCAAACACTTTCTGTGCATAGTCTAAACACCCCCAATTACCATAAAAATGAATCAACCTATTTCGCACGATCAAATCAAACACAAAACCCACTTTCCAAATTCTACAATGAATCGAAATACCCATTTCAACTCGGTGTAAAAGCTCACACGCTTTCAACGCAAACACAAAGCTTCTCCTATCCATTTCAACGTATTCTCGAACCATTTTCTGAAAAAAGGAAAAACCCACTACAGGTTTTTGCGCTTTACAATACCCTCTAATCATAGTATTCCATATATAAACATTGGGTTCAGAAATTTGAGTAAATAATAAATGAGCATGGGATATGTTGCCGGCGTCTGAGAGGGCGCAAAAGGAGAGGACTCGGCTTACAGGGAAAAGGTGGAATATAAGGCCAGTTCGAGTCATATGGGCTTGAATTTGCTTCAACTGGGACATTGAATTGCAGGACTCCATGAGCAACAGAGTTGGGTTGGTGATCATAAGGTTCTTGGTGTTTGAATTCCATTTGGGTGTCTCAGTTGAGGTTGAAGAGAACAGTTTTTGGAAGTGCAGGAGAGTCTGGGGCTTAGGAGTGAGAGACGAGAGGAGTTGAAGTGAGAGATTGGAGGAAGAAATGCAAATCGGCGGAGAAAGAGGCGGTTTCATGTGAAGGTGGAAGTTTGAGGGTGGACGGTGGTTGAGGTTTATAAGGTTAATTACAAAATATCCCCCACATCTTGAGACTTCTTACAAACAACCTCTTTATACTTTTATATTTGAACCTAAACTTCTTTAAACTTGTGACAAAAGTGCAAATTTAAATAGATTTTTTGAGATATAAATAGATCTTTCTCTCTCTCTCCTAGACAACAACCTATCCATCCGCACCATCAACAGCCATCAATTTCACATTTAATCGATACACCTACATTTATAAAAACAGTAATGTTAGACGACCAAATTTTTAGATCAAATCAAGAGTCTAAATGACATGACAGTTAATTTGAAATTTTTTATTTGGTACCATGTTATTAAATGTGAGACGGTCCTTACAGGATAGCTGCGAGGAAATCTCCCATTTTTTCTTTTTAGTATGATGCTACTAAAAGGATAAGCCTACTAGTTTTTTTTTTCTTTATTCAAGTTAGTTTATCTACCCTAAAAAGGCACTTAAATCTTTTTTAATTTACAACTCTTCGTGGAACATAAGAGTTGGACAACTTAAATACCCTCGACTCCTCTCTCTTCACATTCCTAATAATGCACATACTTTCCTTTCGAGCAATACTATATGAGCTTAAAAATTAGACTTAAAATTAGATTTGATAATCTCAACTATTGAATAGGCAGCGAGTTTCAATAAATGCTGAGACTCACATTAAAATTAATAGTTTAGATTATCAATGCTAGTTTTTAGGTCTATTTTTTAAATTCATGTAGCATTGCTCCTTTCCAAAATCATCCGAGTGGACTAAATTCTCTTTTGTAATCCTAACAATCCATTCCCCCTCAATCAAAAAAAAAAATCATCATTTTTCTTCCATCCTCGTGTAGTTCGGGCCACAGTTCGGGCCACAGTACGTAACAATATTTCATGATCAAATTTTTTTCCCCACATTCTTTTTTATGAGTGCATTTTGGTACCATGGTCATCCACTCCAACTCTCCCTTTTTTTGTAATATCCAGCATAGAGAAATCACCATTTGCACACGTTATTCTTGTCAATGACATTTGAAACATCATTTGACATATGAATAAAAGAGTAATCGAGGTGAAATTATGGTACTGAATCTAAGTTAATTGTATCTGTATTTCCCTGGGCCTTTTGGACGATCCTACTTACAGACTTTTTTATATATAATTTTATTTAAAAATAATAAATATTTTTATAATTTAATATTTGTGTAAGTTATATTTTTGAATCAAAATAGAGTCAAAATGAATAAAAATAAAATAATGAATACTTTTTTTTTTGATTAGGGGATGAATTACATTCAATAGAATAAATACATCCTAACTAGGTTAACACCTACCGATTTTTCTATCATTTATATTATTCTATCATTTAAAACTTATATGCTTAATATATGAAAAAAAAAATACATTATTTATAGTATCTAAAATTTTGAAATTTCAAATTTCGACATTAGTAGACTTATTTCAAAATTTTAAATTTAATGGTTTAAAAATATAAATTTTTTTTAAAGAAAGGGTGGGCATGCTGTGTGGACGGGTTGGGCTAGACTTGACTGGTGGACTCTTGGGTCAGGTTTTGATGGATTTTTTCAAGTGAATTATTGAGCCTTATTTCGGGCAAGACAATGAGTTTGGGGGCAAATTCAAGCCCTCTTTTTAAAGATATTAGGCTCAGGTTCGAGCGGGTCAATTTTTGACTCTATCGAGTTTAGAACTTATTTTTTTTGGGCTAGGTAACGGACTTGTAGATAACTTGACTCATGGACACCCCTAGGACCGGTGGACGTGCCCATCTTTTCCAGTGTAGTAATCCAAACTAAAACAAACAAGTGGGGAGGCCAGTTGATTTACCTCAAAAGTGAGGTGTCTAAACCAATTTTCTTAGTCCCAAACCTGACCCCATAAAATCTGAAAAACTTAATGAAAACCCCATTTCGCATCGAAACGAGATGCAGAGATTGTGCACGAGACTCCGATCAGTCGGAGCCGCTCTCCGTTCATCGCCACAAACCACCCAACTTTCTCTCTCCTCCATGCCATCTACTTGTTCCCGTCGTCATCTCCATTCTTGTCCAAATCTGCTCTATAATCCATTTAATTCCCCAGCAATCTCCCCCAAATTTAAGCCCCTTTTCAATGCTCCAACAACTCTGCACCCTTCACTGCCCAGTCACTCCTCTCTCCTTCCTCTCTCCGTAAGTAGAGTTTTCTTAATTTTCGTTTTGTTGCCGATAGAACTTAGGGAAATAAATGCATTTGCGCTTCAATTTTTATTATTGAACTTCATTGAGCTAAAATTTGAACATATTTTACCCTATTTCATTTGATTTTTTCTGAAACATATCTATTGAAATTGAAAAAGTTTCTTATTTGCTTGCTGAGAAAATGTAGCAACAAGAGAAGACATTCACAGTTTGGGCATTGAAGCTCTAGTAAAACTGAAACCTTTTTCAAATTTTTTTTGTTAATTCATTGTTCTTGGTGATGATGTATAGTTCATTCAAGTCCGACATATCACAGCGAAACAGAGGAAAAGAAAGTTGAAGAGTAGGAAGCCAATGACACCCGTCATTTCCAAAGTGAAGAAAATCAAAATGAAATGTTATTCGTATGTCAATGCTCTCATTAACCTCAAAAATTTTCATATTGAGTTTATGTATTAGTGTGTGCAAATGGAAGAATTTGTTTATATGAGTTTTGTTGATCAGGTCATATAAGGACAGATTTAGGACTATGAATGATGGACAGATTAGGCGTTGGAAGGCGGGGAGAAGGCACAATGCGCACTTAAAGGTCTGATTGTTCTCTCATATATTATTATGTATCGTTGGAAAAGAAAATTTGGTGAATGTGAAACTGTTGATTATATGAACTTTATCATATTTTTCTTGTCGTGAAGATTTTGGTCTCTGTCTGATAGGTTTGTTTCTAGATATTTGTTATTGGTACTTAGGGATTAATGTTTTTTTGTTTTGTTGTCTTATTTTGTCTCTATTTTATGCTATCTTCTCAGATCTCACTATACAGTCACTTGGACAACATGAAAATTTGATTTCAAATAATTCTATAAAATATATGTGGTAAACTTNTTTTTTGTCTCTATTTTATGCTATCTTCTCAGATCTCACTATACAGTCACATGGACAACATGAAAATTTGATTTCAAATAATTCTATAAAATATATGTGGTAAACTTTGCCCTCGTGATTGGGAGTGCACAGCTGTGAAATGTTGTTTCTTGCATGAGTTCATGTTCAGCTGTGAAATTTTGTTTCTTGCATGAGTTCATGTTGCTATAGTCTGAATGTCATTTGGACTAATTGAGTTCTAATTACATGACTTCTTGACTGCAACAACAGGCTGCTATGAGCTAGCATGGAATTGGAGTCTTTACGGCAATTTTTTTAATATATCTTACAAGCTTATTGTTGTTTCAAACTTATTTACCAAAGTATCGTAAATTTTAAAAGCGTGTTTAGTGCATTTAACAGTGGAGCGTGGTTGAAAAGCACGCCTTTCATGAAAAAATAGTGGCCCTGTGAAAGCGTTACTCACTTTTTATGAAAGACATGTTTAATCATGCCTNGCGCATTTAACAGTGGAGCGTGGTTGAAAAGCACGCCTTTCATGAAAAAAAAGTGGCCCTGTGAAAGCGTTACTCACTTTTTATGAAAGACATGTTTAATCATGCCTGTACTTGAATGTGGTTTTTTCTAAACTCTTTTTTACTTTTGCTCAGAACCTGCACGCAGGAGGTATTGTTCTAAATGCAAAATCCCTGTAAGTCTAAAATCAAACCTACTACCAAAATGTAACCATCCCCAGCAAGTCAAAATATATGTCAACTAACATGCAAGCAGCATTAACAATGACAGCTAAAAGGATCTATTGTATTCAAATTGGAGACATTGAATAAATCAATTGTCCATAATAACAAGAGATGCATAATCAATAGAACATGTACAATACATTACAATTACATATCTACAAACTAATTGTTTCATAGTAAAATGAAAAACAAAGCTATGTACCATATAGGGATCTCCTCAGTCGCTTAGGACGTTGAGACAACAACTCTGGAGTATGTCTTATGCAGTCCTGACGACTCTTGAATGATCTGTGATAGACCATCTCTGGCCTCCGTGACTGGTGTGGTGCAGCGTGGAACTGCACTCCGACCAAATCACTGCAGAGCAGACCAATATCTATTTTGCAATCATGATAACCAAAATCAAAATATTGCAATGTCTAAGCAACATTAGTTACTGCCTTTGACGATTCCACCTGCCAATGTTTTTGTCCATATATCATTACTTCATTTCAACTGCTATTTAGTTTTTGCTGCTTGTTTTGTGAAATATATTTCTTGTTGCCAGTGGAAGAAATACTTAAAAACAACGTAATAGGGTAAATGGGATATAAGAAAATTGATTTTTTTTTTTTCATTTAACAAAACATTGAACTTCCTTTCAGTCAGGCATTTACACAAACACCCACCGGGNTCGTTTAACAAAACATTGAACTTCCTTTCAGTCAGGCATTTACACAAACACCCACCGGGCAACTGATTTTTAACACTTGCCAAAGAAAATTGAACTCCCCTTCACTCAGACATGTACACAAACATCTGGTTGCAATCCAAATTTAGTGCAAAACAACAAAAATTAGCACCCTCTATCAATACCTTAACTTTCAATGGTGTCTGAAAATACGTACTATTTCACTGATTTCTTCCAAAGATCACCAAAATCCTGTCAATGGCTGGTGTTGTTCACTCCCTCCTTCAAACACGCTGCACATATGATAACAGTTACCTAACTAGTAGCTACACTCTACGGCGGTCACTGGTGGCTACACTCTACGGTGGTCACTGGTAGCTACACTCTATGGCAGTCACTTAAAGTTTTATTTTGACCAGGTTCTTGGTTTTTACAGTTCTAGAGTGACGGGATGATTAGGGAGAAGTCATTTACGCTACATCTTAATATTCA